ATGACTCTATGGTTTTTGTCTAGAGTGGTAGACTCTCGACAGAACTCAAACTATGGCAAAATGTCAAAATGTTTTTTAATTAAATAATATAAAATTTCGGCTACTAATTGAGATTTTTATTATATCCTATGTCCTAAATGGGATCCATATGTACACGGTGAGCAAAACCAATCTTAAATCGGTTCAGTATTTTAGGCGTCCATCGAGGACAACGCCTGTGACACTAAATTTATAAACCTTTTGTTTTGGAAAATTATTCCGTTTTCTTTTAACACTTTCATCTCTTCAACAAAAGGCTGAAGAAAAGCGTTGGCATCCTCAGGTTTGCCTCTACCATGATGCACACCAACCAGAAAAGGTTCAACCTTCTCCGGTATATCAAGCATTATGGAAATCGGCCAAAAGGTACTATTCGAGCTTTTTGTCAAAGATAACCCATCACAGTTGACTTTGATACCTATTCTATCTGGACAAACCTTAACATATCTTTTCATGGACCGGATGATACCTTTTTCAACTCCAAAATGTACGTAATCGCCGCCATTAATTGATTCAATGCCTTTAGTAGCTTCTTTTGGAGACTCAACAATGTCCTAGCATCAGCAGGTAATGTGTCCTCATGGCCATGGCGTCTAAGGATTTTTAACAACTTTGTTAAGGACCGCAATGTTGTACCTCCGCATTCGTTAAACCAAATCCTCAGCTCACTTTTTAATGGCAATTTTTCCGCTATTTTGTTATCGGAAAGCAATTCATTTTCATCACGTACTGTGGCATCAAAATTCGAGCAGACAGCTTCATCATTTCTGCTGGTGCTTGTATTATCACTAAAATTCACACGAAGTATAGGGTTTTCGCATGCGGGGTGTTGTGAATTGCAACGAACATCTTTGTCACTTCCATTAGTGCTACTAATAGATTCACTAGACTTATCAGCTGAAGAATTCTGCTCTCCATTTTTAAAATAATTTAGAAACTGCTTTCTGGTTTCATTAGCAATTGCACGCTGCCTACTTGCACTTAGGTCAAGAAAATGCTTACCTCCTCCACGTTTTTTTCTGATTTTAACAGTTTAAAAAAAAACTAAACGTAATGACTCGACTTAACTATTCGATGTTTCTCGCTTGAAATCCAATTTGAAAAGAAAGCGTTAAATCAGGGTTCGATTAATCAACGCCATATTTACTATTTGTTCACATGTTTATTAACTTCCCGTAGGGTAAGTTATAGTAATCGCAAAAATAACGAAAATGAAAATTTTGATATATCTTTACGTTCCACACGCTTCTATACATATTGACATATCTTATAAAAAATTGATGTATGTGTGTGCATACATTTTCGTCGACAATTTCGTCTATAACATTGATCAACCGATTTAAATAATTCAAAAAATACTCGATTCGTATTGATAAGGAGACGTGCTGATTAGTTTTTGACAAAGGCAGTTCTAGCCGTTTCGAAGAGTTCGTGTTCTCCCGAGCCTAATGAATGTATTATAATAATAATTATTTTAGAACTTGGTGTTATTTTAGAAGACAGATGATTACTAGTAATCTTGCCTCAGGTAATTAAGTACAAGTTGCTTAGATATTTATTTCGAATAAGGTAGTTGTATCTTTAAATCAAGTATCTGTCTTTTTTGTAATAATGTATATATAACTAGCTGACCCGGCAAACGTTGTTTTGCTAAATAAGGTATATTCTAAACCATTTCTAGAGAATAAAAATATTAATACTCTAAGTGCATAAGGATGTGTTGTTTGAATGCTGTATACAATTAGGTATTATAAAAACAATAAACCCCATTAGTTTGTCTATATTTTGTCAATACAATCAAACTGCAAGTTTTATACACTTTCTATAGAAAACATCGTATAATCCAATCCGAGTCTTTTTTGGTCTTTCGGCTTATTAATTACGTTTCTTAGCTTATACAAAATTTTCAAATTTTTGCGAGGAGAGATAAAAAATGCATTAAGTATTTCTTCTTTGACCTGCTTTTTGAAAGGTTTCAAGTTACATTCGATGAATTAAAGTAAATTTAATGAAAAGTATATATAGTAAGTCGCAGGGCGACACACAAAGGTCCAATTTGACTTTGAGCAAATATAAACTATATTGTGAAAACCATAACAATTATATCACAACAAATAACACATATCAAACGAACAATTATCTGACTACGTTCAGTAATCTGACTTCTACTTCATCATTGTAGAAATATGCTTTTTTGATATCTTCCAAAAATTTGTTATCTAGACCTTTTTATCCTATATGCGGGGTAACTTCCCAGTAAACCACAAAACGTAACAAAGCCATGACTGTTACGTAACGCTGGCACGTCCGCACGAACCAGGTACGTAACCTGGGAGGCACACTGAAGTATCTATTTCGCGGGCAAGAACGTAACGGCTGTTTCGTTGCACACTGATACACCGCGGTTGCCTTTTTGCTACGTATCTAAATTGAATAAAAAAGCGTGTAGGTGTCTTTTATGTTACATAATTATTTAATGGAATTTCCTGCAAATAAATTGTTTTGGATATAAATATTAAAAGGTAAAATTAATATTTTAAAGTAATTTTATTGAACATTTTTATGACAAATTTCATAGTAACAATAATACATTACTTAAATTTAAAAAAATCAGTAAAATTAACATTAATAAATTCATATTTTGATATATACATGTATAAATTATATTAATAAATTGATAATATTAAAATAAACAATCTTATTGAAAAAATAACTTGGAATAAAATTCATATTGAAACTAACAGGAATAAATTCATATTAAAAAAGAATAATGCAAACATATATATACATGTGTGTATATATACATATACACATACATATGTATATATACACATAAAATTCATATTGAAACTAACAGGAATAAATTCATATAAATATAAATATAAATATATATATATATATATATATATATATATGTGTGTGTGTTTATAAACTTTGAAGTTTGATGCTCACACATATTCTTGAAATATGTATTTGCAGCCAAAATAGTCAAAATAATAAGCAATGAATAAATTAACTATATTCATGTATATTTCAAACACTGAATGTGTGTCATCATTCAGCAAATTAATACACTCAAGCAGGAAAAAGCGCACACAAATTTTAACACATTGTTCAATGAAAAAAACAAAACATCTTTTTATTTAATGTCTTGGGTTTTTCATTCAACAATATGTTTTGATTTTTTCTGCCTTGAATTTATTAACTTGGGAATGATGACACACATACGGTGTTTGAAATGTACATGAATATAAGTAATTTATTCGTCACTTTTTATTTTGACTATTTTGGCTGCAAATACATATTTCAAGAATGTGTGTTACCATTAAACTCCAAAGTTTATAAACATAGTTTAATATTATATATATAATATATATAATATATATAATATTAAATTATATATGATATGACCGTTAACCGTTGAACCGTGCGGACGTGTTTTTTGAAGTGTCGTAATGTCTCTGACACAATTAAATATTCCGGAATCGGATTCCAAAAAAACCTACAACTGCTGTGAAACAAAACCTTCTGCAAGTGTGGGTGTTTGTAAGAACTGTGGCAAAATTTACCATGTGAGTTGTGCCACAAGAAAAGGTTTCAAATTCATTGTTGGAAATTTGATACAGTGCTGTGAGGTGAGCAGTGAAGTGTCGAGTGACAAACATATGGATACTATTAACAACTTAAAACAAACAATTACCGATAAAAATACCATAATAAACGATAAAATGACAATAATAAAGGATAAGGAATACATAATTCAGAATCTTGAAGAAAAAATTAAGATGCTGCAATTATTAAAGCCAAATGAAAAGAAAAAAGAAGTTTCGTCAGCTGCACCCAATATTGATAGTAATACTGAGAAAGCAGCATCTAAGAAGCCTAAACATAAATCTACCAATAAAAACAGTGCCAATGCTAATAAGGTCTCAAAAGAACAGGTGTGTGTTGCAGTAGCAACTGCTTTAAAGGAATTAGACAAGCGTAGAAGCGAAACATTCCGAGATGCGGTTGCCAGCACGGAGCTGCCTAATCAATCGACCCAAGCTGAACAACAATCAATTAAAGCAAATGACGATGGAAACTGGACTTTGGTCCAGAAAAAGAAGTCGCCGAAACGAAAAAACAAAGCCATAGAAGGAACAAATGTGAGCACTACACTCGCGGGAGTTGTGAGGAAGGCCCACTTGCATGTGTTTCGCCTGGCACCGGAAACATCGACGGAAACTCTAAAAAATTATTTAAATGAGAAAAACTTCAAAAATATTGAATGTGAGAAAATGGCTTCTAAACATCCGAAAACATATGCCTCTTTCAAGGTATCCGTTGCAGTGAGTGAATTGGAAAGAATAAAATCTCCGGATGTTTGGCCAAAAGGAGTCTGTGTGGATCGTTTTTTATTCCATCTGGTAGAAAAAACGCAGAAAAATTGTTAAACTGGTTTAATATATAATGTCCTTGAACATTCAATGTTTATCCAATAAAACGGAGACATTAACAAAAGTTGTCCATGACAATAAAATAAACATTTTTTGTTTATGTGAACATTGGCTTGGCAACGAGCGAATCGACCTATATACGTGATTTTCGGCTAGTCAGCTCATTCTGCAGTAGTATACATATGCACGGAGGTGTAGCTATTTACTGTCGGAAAGAGTTAGAATGTTGCGTCGAAATTTACAACAAGCTTTCCAACGAATTTAAAAGCAGGAATTGTTTCAATGCGACTGTCAAAAAACATCCTATAGATCAACCTATTTATACAATAAATGGATACTTTAATCTAAGTTAATTATTAATTGTCATTAGGTTAATCTTGAGCTGTTCATAAATATCACTGATATTACTATAGTTATATTATAATATTGTGATAAAAATAATAATTGTATTGATGTATTGTAAATGACTTAAATTGTAACTATTGAATTTTAATAAAGTTCTATTCTATTCTATATATATTATTATGTTATTATGGGTCTTCTGTTTTGTTCTCTATATAGTCTTTGTTTCCCAAAGCGAAACCATTCTGTAACTATATTAACAAACTTGGCTTCTGTAAATTCAGCGGTGTTGTTAATTATTGTGTCTAAAATAAAACCGAACAGGAATTAGAAACATTAATTAAAATAAATTGAAGTTAAATTACCTTTAATCACTTCCATTACTTTCAGCTTGTTTACTGGCATATTACCTTTCCGGCCATACCAAGAACATACAGCTGCCAATTTTTTGGTAAAAACTTTTTTCAATATATTTCTTATATTTTCAGCCGGAGTTTCCCCACCAATTTTTCCAACATAGCTTTGCTAAAAACAAAACATTAAAATATAATTACTTCCAAATTATTTTATTTCAATATCTCCCAAGGTGCAATTATAGTTTACCAATTCTGTAACATATGTTTCATCTTTTAAAAACTCTTCACAGCATGTGATATCATCTTCGGCATCAAGTGGAAACAAAGAATCAAAGACATTACCATCTTGATTACATGTCAATGTAGGATAACTTGCATTTTGCAGTAATTGATCCATTTTAGTATTCAAAATGGCAAGCTCCCTGAGAATAAAATCGGTTTTTGTGCACTGCTTCTCCAAGTTTTCATTTATGTTCACTATTCTTTGTTCCAGCCTTTCTGCAGACCAATCCCTATCAGTTTGTGTTCCTTGATCTTCGAAAGTTTTGCATAACCCAACGTCATGATTTATCCCCATGAGAGGGGATAAGGGTAAAGGGCTCAATTCTTCTACATTAGAAGGAGTTACGCAATTGGCACTTGTAGAACTCCTCGGTGATTCTAGATCCAGCAACAATTGTTGGTTAGGATTAAAATCTGAAAGATTATTTTTTATTCTTTCAAAAATATATATTCTATTGCATTAAAATATGTAGGATTTTTTACGTACTATATTCTTCTTCATTTGATTGATATTGGCTGTTGGGTTTCTTTAAACGAAACCCTTTGCCAAGATTCTCCTCAGCCGATGTATAATCACTATCTTGCGCAAACTTTCTTGCTTTATAATATGAATCTATGCAATGAAAAAATAGATTTAAAAAAAAATCTACATTTATATTTAGTTAAAGAAATGCACTTACCGAAATAACGCATGACACTCACATCTTCCTTTGTCCAGGTACTGTCGGGTACACTTTTTTTCATTATTAAAGGAGTTTTTGATGCTATATTAGCAGGAGGCCACCAACACTTTGTAATCTCATTGCCTGTTTTGAATAGCCAACTAACAGGCACCTCTGAGGTTATTATATTTTCAGTTTCTTTAATGAATTTAACGACCGCATGGGTATACATTCTGAAAAGCCATCGTAAAGAGGTTACAAAAACATTCGAAAATCTTCGAAATCAGTCTAATTACATTTGCTGAACCTTTCTTAACAATTTGATATATGAATCAATCACAAAAATTAATAGAAAATACCTGCTGACGACGATGATTAAAAAGATTTCTCTTGATTACTATGATTCACTAACCTATTCGAAGCACAACGATTCACACGAAGCTAATTTCTGATAATTTTGTCATACCAACATACGAAGCGCAACCGAGAATAAAAAAAATGTGACAACATTGAAAGACAAAAAACCTATGTGCGTCAAACAAAACTGTCAAACAAAAAAACAAAACTGTCAAACGTCAAAATAATACACCCACTGTTATATTGTCTCTCACCTCTCACATTTAGACACCTTTTAGACAGTTAAATAGAAATCCCAATTGTAAGTATATAATTATTTACGAAAGCGGGTTTTTTACATTTACATGATCATACATTGTCTCTTCACAACCAATATTATTTCAGGAAACCAAACATATAGTTATTCAAAACCTAGTACAGTTTTGTTAGAAATTATTAGGAAATTTTTAATTAGGGCTTCGCAGAGTGTTTTAGTATAGTTATTTTATTTACCCAGGTAAATGTTATTCAGGTTGTTTTTGTTTGCTTAGTGTGTTTTAATTCTATTGTAGGGTTCACTGAATTAAGATTAGGACTTCAGCCTGAACATCAAAATAGCTACAAGAGTCTTGTAGCATGTAACATCTGATTATTAGAACTTAACTCATATATATATATATATATATATATATTAGGGTGGGCCGAATCATTATAGAAGTAAAATTAAGCGATATGGGCACCTTTTCATATGAAATATATGTGTTATTTAAATGAATTTTGACTTCAAAACCATATATCGCAAATAACTCTTTAGCCAGCGAAATTTTCAATAAAATACTGTTTTTAATAAGTTAATATATTAATTTAGGCATGTGAATAATTCCAATTGTAAGTTATATTTCTTTTAATAGTTTGTACGGGGGTTTTTAAATCGGGTTTAGTTTGTTGTTATTTATTTCCATCAGAGTGCGCTAGTATTTTTTTATAATAATTCTCGAACTTTCGAAAAGAATATATTAATGTGGAAAATTCGCATAAATCTTCATTCAGTTCTCCAGTTAGACGTGAAGTATCAATGGCGAATTCTTATTTAAATTCAGGCGCAAGTGCTAGTAATTTGAATCATATGCGCTCGCATGATCAAATTACATTTGGGGAAGCAAAAGAATTTACTGGTGTAAATCTTCCGACAAGTATGGAAATTATCAGGTATTATTTTTATTTGGCCGAAGAATCAAAAAAACAAAATAAAATGTTTTCATATAAAACATTTACTCCAAATGTGGTAACGAAATTGATTCAGACGTGGGAAAAAATTGATATTCCAATTATGGAGAAACGAAGTATCGCTAGAAAATTGAACCGATTGATTGATAAATATAAAAGTACAAATAAAAGCAAGTCTACCCAAGCATCATTTCAGGAGTTTGTAGAATCCACGAAAGAATTATTTTATATTGGAAAATGCAAATGCGATTTGCGAAGATTACTGTGTTCTTGTGGATTGATCCCAAAACATTTACAAGCGTTTATGATGGATCAACATAATGAGAGGAAATCTACGATACCAGAATATATTATAAAAATTGAAGATGAAGTATCAGAATCTACAATAACTAGCAATATTACTCCAGGTGAGACATATACTCCAGATGTTGATTTTGATTTTAAAAGCAGTTCGGAAAGTTTACAAAATACTTCTCATATAAAACGTGGTCCATATAGTCGAAGATATAAGGCTCCAAGCTATGCCTTAATGTGCGACAGATTTGCAATTTCTGATAGAGTTGGGTCTGGCGTGGTGACGGCAATCCTGCGTGACCTGGGCATAACGGATGATTGGGGCAATCCTGTCATTATGGACAAAAATAAAAGCGTTCGCGAGAGGCAGAAAAATAGGCAAGCTCTACACAAACGATATGATTCTTCTGAATTAATAGCATTTTCATTCGACGGCCGAAAAAATGATTCTATTACCATGGAAAAAATCGATAAGAAGTTTCACCCACGAATGATTAAAGAAGCGCATTTAGTTATTTTAAAGGAACCGAATGGCCAATTGTTGGGTTACACAAAATTGGAAAATGAAGATTCGGAAAGTAAAGTAATCAAATTGAACGAGTTTTTCGCCGATAAAGGAATAGCTCTCGATTCTTTGATAGGCATATGTTGCGATGGTGAACCAGCAAATACAGGCGTAAAAAATGGTATTTTACGTCGATTTGAAATTCAGTTAAACAGGCCACTGCATTGGTTTGTGTGTCTTCTCCACTTTAACGAACTTCCACTTCGCCATTTATTTAACTATTTGGAAAAATCATTGACCACTGGACCACGAACAAAAACTGGAATATTAAGCAAACAAATTGAAACATGCGAAAATATACCGGTGAGTTATAACATATTTACTATTTTTAATACCCTATGTTCAAATTCAATATAATTTATTTTTTCCTATATACTTCCAGCCGGTAAAAGACTTTGAAACAATCCCACTTGAAAATTTGGCTGATATAAGTCCTGCTGAATCGACAACTGACTCAAGTTATTTAATAAAAATAGCTAAAGCAGTTGCTTCTGGAGAAGTATCGACAGACTTAGCTAACATGAAACCAGGGCCAATAGCACATTCCCGTTGGCTCACGAAGGCTAGTAGGTTACTTCGGTTATATGTAACTACTAATAAGCCTTCCAAAAATTTGAAAATTCTGGCAAACTACGTAATGAAAGTATATATTCCAATGTACTTTAACATTAAATATTACAACTCTGTGGTGTATGGTAGTATATTATTTTATAAATTTATTAGCTGGACGCAATATTTAGACTCGAATTTGAGACAAATTGTGAACAATGTTGCTAAAGAAAACGCATACTATGCTCACTCAGAAAATATTTTATTAGCAATGTTGTTTGATAATAAAAAGGAAATACGAGATTCAGCTATAAGAAAAATCTTATATTACCGTAATAATGTGGAAGACCTGACGCAATTGAGAGATTACAAAACACCCGAAATAAATTTCGAATGCACCGACTATACTAATATGATAGATATGGATGATTATTCAAATATATCCGAACCAGCCTTTACGCTAAATATTCCTCATGAACATCTAGTACAATATCTACAAAGCAATGAGTGTCCATGGAGTGACCCTAAAATTCCGGTCCACATTCAGGGAACTGAGAGACATGTTCAATTACTGGCTAATGTATCAAAACGCGTATTAGAGCAAAATCGCGAAGGTGTTATGACAGCGACACTACTATCTCGTGAAAAGCATCCTCGACTGGAAAGCAAGCAAGATTTCAGATATTAATTTATTTAAATTGTATTAGCTAAATGTAAGAAATTTTATTTTAAATAAAAATGTAACTTAAAGAAATAAAAATGTTGTATTTAAACCATGTCATGTAAATAAATAATAGAATAAATATATGTCATTCCTAAAAAACCCAAAAACAATATTTTTCTTCAAAAGTAGTTTGACCTGTTTCGATGCATGATTCTAGGTTAGGCTTACTCGCAAATTTCCCCTAACAGTTTACTTGATGTAGTCTGATGTACCCGTAAGTTACTGATTTCAAAAAGCCGGAAAATGTTTTTAACCTGTTTCGATGCATGATTCTAGGTTAGGCTTACTCGCAAATGTCCCCTAACAGTTTACTTGATGTAGTCTGATGTACCCGTAAGTTACTGATTTCAAAAAGCCGGAAAATGTTTTTAACCTGTTTCGATGCATGATTCTAGGTTAGGCTTACTCGCAAATGTCCCCTAACAGTTTACTTGATGTAGTCTGATGTACCCGTAAGTTACTGATTTCAAAAAGCCGGAAAATGTTTTTAACCTGTTTCGATGCATGATTCTAGGTTAGGCTTACTCGCAAATGTCCCCTAGAAGTTTACTAGATGTAGTTTGAAATTATATATAAATACTGAATATTTTGTTAAAAAGGAAATAAATATACTGAATATTTTATTATAAAAGAATCGAAATATTTATAGGTTGGAAGTTACTAATTATTTAGAGTATATTACAAAAATTAAATAAAAATAGCAACTTGCACGTATTTTGCACATTGACAACTTACACGTATTCTGCAAATTGACAACTTGCACGCATTCTGCAAATTGACAACTTGCACGTATTTTACACATTGACAACTTGCACGCATTTTGCATTATAGATAACTTATACGTACTTTGCTTATTAGCAACTTGTACGCATTTCCAAGAAATTTAGCAAAAAACATTCTCCCTATTTAGAATTTAATGAATTATATCATATATTTATATTAAAAAATTATGAAAAGTTTCTCTTAAAAACATATATTTCGTAAACTTACAAAATATTTATAACTATTCTCTTGACATTATGGTTATTGAAAGAAATAATGAATATTTCTAGTATTGGAATTTGTCGATAAGTTTTGATTTACGTGCTGACTCACGCACGTTGTACAAAATAGCTAGGTAGATACCGAAGAAGTGTCACATGTACAGCATGTACAAGTTTTCGACTGTCAAGCCTACTGATTGTGGCATGGTGCAATGCGACGGCTTAAGGCTTATGCTCTAATAGCGTGGGGTGACGTCAAGCCAACATGACGAATCCCCAAGCCAAGGGCTGAGTCTCAACGGATCGCAGCGTGGTAACTGCTCTGCCGAGTACAACACCCCGCCAGGTACCTAAGTCGTTTACAAACGATTCCGAGTCTCTACATCGAACTAGTAACCCATGATCGACCGCTATAGGCAAGACAGATATAACGGACGGATATCGCCCCTGTCCAGCGCCTCATTCGGCTAAAAATGGCTCGTGCGATAAACGGCGTGTGCCGAATACCTAATAAATCACATTGTATTGAGCCTTTCGACTCACGAGACTCCTAG